CAGTGGATGAGGATTTTGTCCTAACTTTAGGAGAAGGAGCTTCTGGGTGGCAACCCCTCTTTTCTGTGCAAAGTTTTCTACAAACCGTCCTCCACCTACGTTCCGCACCACACTTTGCTTACTTTAGACACTGTCATTCACAAGAGACAAAATTGTTATCATTACACGAGTTCGAGTTCATTACACTACTTCACAAGACTATAAAATAGCCCAACACATTAACACGAATGAACAAATGCCCTTCCCTCAGCCATCTACTTGTCATAAGTTACTTAACTTTCATGAGAAAGTCCCAAAGTCCCCACCGAAAAGGCTGCAAACTCAATTCTACTACCTTTCTATTTGGAATATATGACCTTTCCTAGCTTAACGCCTGATGAGATTGCTCTCATTGTCAGAAGGAGAACTCGAACTTCAAGTTGAACTTTGTAATTCATACTACAATCTACAGAAAGATCTTATCTCAAGGAAACTTGAGAACAACTTCACAACCAACCTTCTTCTCCAGGTCGTAATCGTACCAGATTCCATCTGTTTCATTCCAGTGAATCTCTTTCATCTCACGTTTTGCTAACTTCGTAACGTTCTTGGTAGAATGCGACCTTTTTGAAGTCTCCTAAAGCATTGCCAAAATAAAATAAACAAAAAAACAATATAAGTACGATGTTGGGTTGCAGTGCCTTACTGAATTGGGGATTCGTACTCCTAGACGTAAGCTGATTCACTAATATCAACTTCATCTTTCAAATCTAGCCATAAATTTGCCTTCAATGCCCATTTCCAGGTCTCATATATTGCTGTCACTTCATACCACCCACCGCCAATGTCCCTACGACCGTTGGTGCGACGTGTACTGTGAGTCTGGCGACAGAAAAACATTAACATGCACAGATATACTTATGGTTAGTGGATTCTATGCAGTAAGTCACTGGGGCAACCGAAATTCCGCGACAACCTGGTATGCTGTAGAAGTGCGCATCTAAAGAGCTGCAGAGAACAATGGCGTCCTAGTCAAACGCGGGAGTATGGCCTAGCTAAACGTAAGGCCGTTCGAGCAGTGTACTGCGTGCCTGTGACGTGTTGTATTGGTGGAAATATTATTGTAAGGGATATCTAGCTATCTCTATCCTCCAGCATCACTCTCTCCCATTTGGGCATGGAAAGTGGCGAACTTTGACAGCTGCGGATCTTTTCACCTCCACATGGGAAGCATTCAACTATCAGACGAGGTCCATTGTGTCCTCTAGGGGCATTTGTCTTTACGCAGATTTCGTTCAAGTATTTCCGCAATTCGGGTTACGTAAACATAAACCGTACCTCTGATTTCGAAAAGACTGGCCAAAATCCGAGCATTCACGCACATGAACGCATTGAGATCGACTGGAACAATGCTCCATGTCCTATAAAAATTGAGTCTTCTCCAGGGTGAAGCTTGACTTCTAACTATTCAACTGATTAGTCTTTCACCATTTGTTTTTAGTAACACGTTGAAGAGACAGAACTATCGGCCTAGTCTGGCTTACTGAGGAATTTTTGCTGATTTCCAGCGGTCACTGCCGATGTTCTGTGGAGACGCCTTTTCCATGGCTTTTTCCCTTTTTCTTCTGCGCTTATAATTCCCCAGAACTCAGCTAACAAACATGCTTGCTCAATTTATAGACTTTTTCTGACCTTCACTAAAAAGTGTGTCTCCAAATTAAGCCCTATTTATTCCCAACAAAGCCTATTTACTCCTAACAAAGCTTATTTATTTCTAATATCTAAGCGCATCCTATCCATCACTCTGTTCATGCTGCAGTCCTGAAAGCTCTAACGAAATCGCAGGATATCCCTCTCATCGTAGAACCAGCACTTTCAATAAATCACAGCTACAGTCAAATTTATACCAGCTAAAAGAAATGCTGGCAACGAACCTAATACTTCTCATTGCGTGCTTGTCTTCACCATCTTGAGCAAACCACCTGGTCGAAAAATCCCAGCCTGTTTCGGCTGCCGATGCGATTTCCGACCACATACGCGTCTTTTCCTCTGAACAAAGCGATAACGAGATGAATTGAGTAGCAGTCGATTTCTCACAAAAGTTCGGAAAAACAAATCGATTTGAGAAAAAACCCAAATCCATACCGTCCTTTTTCAAGTGATGAACCATTTCATAATCTTCACGATATGATTCAGGACGTGGAACTTTCAGCGTAGCTCTATATTGATAGTATGGGAATTTCTCCGTCCCATTGGCGTCTTTGTAGATTCGAGATCTCTGCTTTATCCAAAACAGATATTCCTTCTCAAGTGTTGGTAGCACCTCCTGCAAAGTCAAATCAAACTCAGCAAGGTATCAGGGCCGCAACAAATCTTTTAGCTTCCTATTATTTTTCTATTTGTTACTCAATCAACAACACTGTGAAGGACCCTTCTAAAGATGGTAACTATGTCCTTTCTGAAGATGCTAAGCAGGCGGTGAGCTACAGATAACAATTCCACTGGCTGACCTGTGGAGAGGTTGGGGAGACGGGCAGAATCTCGGGTACAAGCGTTGAAAAACACCTACCGGATGAAAAGCTGTCCGGTAGGTGTTTTTAACGCGTGTACCCAACATCCTGCCCGTCTCCCCAATATAATT